TTTGTTCTTTCTCCACATACATTTATGGTCAACTGAGAAATGTGCATTTCTTGTGTGTAACCTGCAATTACAGAAGCCACTGGTCATTTGGCCACAAAGAATTTGGCCAGCAGGAAGCTTCCTTTTCTAGCGTGGCTAAGCACTGCCTAACCATCATTTTATTGATAAGTCTCTAAATTTCCCAAAGGCAGACTTTCTAATGAAATCTGGGGTTACTTTTTTACCTCCAGAGTCATCAGCTTACGGTAACACTGTGAAGCTAAGAAATCCAGCCCTAATTTAGAAAGAAAGGAAGACTAGAGAAAAGCATAGTAAGGGCCCTTGAGCAAAATCTCCACTCCTTGTCCAAAGGGAAGTGGGCTAAACTACAAGAACATCCTGCCTCCAGCCAACCGCCACGGGAATAGGCAGGCATGGTGGCCAGCCCCTTACCTGCAGGGAGGTCCAGTGAGTCAACTTTGCTCTCCACAGTGACACCTACAGGTCGCAATGATTCTTGGTCCAGTGTGGTCTGTAGATACTAGCCCTGGTTCTACTGCGTGCTAGCTGTGTGTGACCTTGGGCAAGTCATGTCAACTCTCTGAGCCCCCCTCAATTTCCTCTATAAAATGCGGATGGTAATCCTAGTACTACTTGCATCACAGACCTGTTGGGAGGGAAGTACTTTGAAAGAAATACATCATTAAGAGAAATGGAAGCTGTCATTATCAGTGAGTGAGGTGGATGGGGATAGGTATCATCTCTTTTTGGAGGTGATAAGCCTAGGAAAGCTTTGCGGGGCTCCAGGGTCTGAGTTTCCATAAATACAGACAATCCTAACTTATGTAACTTTACTTGAGTTTTCATAAATCAAAGGAATCTGTTGCATAACAAATGGGGAAACAAACGAGAGCCACATTTGCTACTGGGGTGAGGAGCCAGCTTCATTTTTCTTTTTCTTTAGAAAAGAATAATCAGAGATTGATTGGGAAATGACTAAATAAGCTGTAGTACATGAATGCAATGAAATATTATAGTGTTGTAAGAAACAATATGTTGAATACAGAATTTTTTTTAAAGGAAGAAAAAAAGATAAACAAAGGTCTGATGTTATACGGTGGGTGCATTCCCGTGGTCCTCACTTCTGTGAAGGAGCAAGGGGAGGTGTCTCCTCTGCCTCTTCTTTAGGACTGTGCTTGGCCATCGTCACAGCATTCACTTTAGTTGTGTTGTTGTAGTCCTTGTGTCCACTGTTTTCTCGGTTCTGCTCCCTTCACTCAGCATCAGTTCAAAAATCTTCCCATGCTTTTCTGAATTCTCCATAATCATCCTTTCTTAACGGAGATGCACCACTTGCAAATAGCTTGCTACAGGTGGCACAGAAATATTAGGGTCTGGAGATGATTTCACAGGTGGGTTAGACACAAAGTGAGCTAGTGGACACAGTGCCGAGTTCAGAATGAGAGAATGTGGACTAGGATGGCCATTTACCTCTCTGGAGTTTTTTCCTCGACTGTAAAGTGAGGGGTTAGCCTTGGGGCCTCTACAGTTCTTCCCAGCTCTAGAGCTAGCGGCCTATAAGGCAGATCAGGACCTGCTCTGCCAATTACAGTCTTACCTGGGGGCCTGGCCACTGGGTGGTGAAGTCATCTACCCCAGTCACACTACCAGTAGCTGCATCTTCAATTCCGCTGAGAAGTACAGCAGCCTGGAGAGATTCCCTGCCCTTCCCTCAGGAGCAGAGCCAGTCTCCAAAGACTACCTGAGAGCAAGGGGGGATTCTCCCATGAGGTTGCCAGCAAGGAGGGGTTAGCTGCAGCCGGCTGGGAGGAGCCAATTCTGGGACTTGGGGTACGGACCCTGCTTCCATCCCAGCCTCTGTGGGCATCATCCAGGGGAGCAGCCCTAGTGGAACTGTCACCCAGTCCCTGCCTCTGCAGGTGCTCCCACCCCCAACCCTCCTGCAATCCTCCTCAGCAGCCACTGCTACTGACCGCTCAGAAGGCTCTTGCCACCCATGTCGCCGGCACTGTCAAATGGCTCAGCATCAGCATGGTTATGGTTTTACGGGACACAAAGGATGCCTTCCTGGGCTTCACGACCGTCCCCGAGGACCACCAGGGCCTTTCCGTCGTCCTTGCCACCGCCGCACTCTCCTGCACGCGGCACTTCCCCCTGTGAGAATGGGAGCCCTAGGACCGCAGGGACTGCCTGCTTTTCTGTTTTGAGCTTCAGCAGAGGACTCGGGATGCAGGAAGTGCTTAATGCAATCTTCTTTCTTTCTTCTTCTCTCTGGCCTTTCCTTCCTTCTTCCCTCTTTCTCTCCCTCCATCCCTCCTTTCCTTTTTTCTTCCCTGCCCTCCCTTCTCTCCCTATCAGGTCTGTACTCACAGTCTTGGTGACTTGGTTGGATCGACCATTGCTTGACAACTCCCCCCCCCCAGCTTTTAAGAACCCAAGGTCCCTTCCATTCTCCAAGGAAGCACCTGAGGACTTTGGCAAAGGCAAGAAAGCCAAGTCACTGAAAACATTAAAAAAGGCACAATTGGCTTTATAGGAACAGGCCATTGGCAATATGGTAAGGCAGCACAGTAGAGTAGAAAGGATACTGGCTTTGTTACAAGATGACCCGAGTTCGAGTCTAACTCTGTGTCTTACTGCTTTGTGACCCTAGGTGAGTCACTCACCATCCCTGGGCCTCAGCCTCCTCATCAGTAAAATGAGGGGTCTAGACTCCAGGGCCTCTGTGATCCCTCTCGACTCTAAACCCGTGATTGGAGGTCCCACAAACAGGATCTCGGCATTTAAACTGTTCATGGAAGATTTTCTGGAAGTGCCCAGGGCAAGAAAAATCTGGTGAAGAGGCTGAGCCAGAAACACTCGGCCACAGAGGATTTGGGGAAATGCCCTGTCCTATGAATTAGTCCAGGGGGCCCAGGCTTTGCCATAAAGAGGGAAGTTGGCGACCTGAAGCCAGCAAGCTTCGGCAGGGCCTTGCAACAGCTCTTGGGGGGGAGGCTACCAGCCGTGCAGGACAGAGAATGGGGAAGGCGGGAGAGTCTCCTCTGGAGTGAGGAGATCCTGGGCAAGGAGGCCAACCACTCCCCTATCAGGACTCCGTGCTGTCAAGGTGCCTTATTGTCCTGGCACAGAACAAGACTAAGCCGCGGGATTTCAAGAGCTGTTGTGTACCCACGCCCAGAGTTCTTGGGCTCTTACACTGGGTTCTTAAGCCTATTCTCCTCATCTGAGGCGGAGTGAGGGCAAAGTACTGACCAAATTCACACAGCCAATCAAAGGCAGCTTGAACCATGGCTTCTGGAATGCCAGCCGCTCTTCCTTCCCTAGAACACATTGCTTTTCTGATTTAAAACAAATCCAAACGATGATTTTAGGGACTTATTGTTTTATCTTAATGGTTTTTACTTTATTAATTTATTTTGATTTATCCACAATCACTTCCATAAGCTTTGGAGTTTTACATTTTTCTCCCCCTCCTCCCCATCTCCCTCCCCAAGACAGCATGCAGTCTGATATAGGCTATACATACACATTCCTATTAAACATACTTTCACATTAGTGATGTTGTAAGAATTAGAACCAATAGGAGGAACCACCAGAAAGGGGAAACAAAACACAACAGAAGAAAAAAATAGCAAATAGTATCCTTCGACCCACATTCAAACTCCACAGTTCTTTCCTTGGATATGGACAGCATTTTCCATCACGTGGCCTTTGGAGATGTCTTAGATAACTTGCATTGCTGAGAAGGGTTAAGTCTATTAATATTAGTCATCACACAACGTGGCTGTTATTGTGTACAGCGTTCTCCTGGTTCTGGTCACTTCACTCAGCATCAGACCAACAAGTCTTTCCAGGTTTTTTTTTTTAAGTTCATCTGCTCATCATTTCTTATGGCACAATAGCATTCCATTACATTCATATACTACAACTTGCTCAGCCATTCCCCAATTGATGGGCATCTTCTCAATTTCCAATTCTTTGCCACCACAAAAAGAGCTGCTACAAATACTTTTGTACATGTGGGTCTTTTTCCCAGTTGTGTGATCTCTTTGGGATAAAGCCCTAGAAATGCTATTGCTAGGTCAATGGGTATGCACATTTTTATAGCCCTTTGGGCATAGTTTCAAATTGCTCTCCAAAATGGTTGGATCAGTTCACAACTCCACCAACAATGCATTAGTGTTCCAATTTCCCCACAGCTTCTCCAACATTTGTCATTTCCCTGTTTTGTCATGTTGGCCAATCTGATAGGTGTGATGTGGTACCTCAGAGTTGTTTTGACTTGCATTTCTCTAATCAATAGTGATTTAGAGTATTTTTTCACATGACCATAGATGGCTTTAATTTCTTCATCTGAGAATTGCCCGTTCATATACTTTGACCATTTATCAATTGGGGAATGACTTGTATTCTTATACATTTGATATCTTAATGCTTTAAGAGTTATTTGCATTTTAAGAACTGCAGAGAGAGGACAATGCTTAACCCAAAGGGTTGAATTCCCCAAATGGTGGAATTTCAGGCATTGGTAAGGATATTTTTTAATTTTGGTCTAGGCAATGGGGTTAAGTGACTTGCCCAGGGTCACACAGCTAGTAAATGTTATGCGTCTGAGACCGGATTTGAACTCAGGTCCTCCTGAATCCAGGGCCAGTTTTCTATCCCCTGCACCACCTACCTGCCCCCAAGGATGCTACTTTGGGGGCGGGGGTTATCTTCTGAGCCCTTCAAATAATTCCCAGTCTCTGGGGCCAATCTCTTCCTCTCTGAACAAAAACAGTAGGGCATGCATCCTTCTGTGGGCAAGATTCCTGGGTCCCGGGCTTGCAGGTGGGGATGGTCAGTCAGCCAACGAACATTTATTCAGTGCCTACTACGTGATGACACTGCAGGAAGTGCTGGGGACACAAAAAGGTCAAAGACGCTCTGCTCTCAAGGAGCTCACAGTCTGATGGAAGGCCAACCCCCCCCCCCAAAACCAGTCACTGCACAGAAGGTGAAATCAGCATGTCCTTTATTTCAAACCCAAAACTAAGCAAGCACATTTCAGGTCACACATTTTTTTTTGTTTGTTTTTAAAGCAAAGGCTTCAGAAGTGAGCAAGGAAGGAATTTCACTTTGCATAGGTAAATCTTCCCAAGTGGAGTGTGGAGACAAAAGGTCACGCCCTTGTGCCTAGACGGGGGTAGGATGCAGAAAGCCTGTGCATGGAATTGGGCATGCCATATTCTACCTGGAACCCACGGTTGGATGGTGCTGTGAAAATAAACCGTACATATGATGACGTCAGCTCAAACCTTGCCCTGCAGCTAATAATGCACGTGGTCTTGGCGAAGTCATTTCCCCTCAGTTCCTCTCTCTAAACCGAAAGCTTCTTTCGCTTTCAATCTTGTGCTCTAAGCCTAGGTGGGGCAGAAATGCACAGCCATCTGGCCCTGGCCCAGACTGACTGACCCCTCGCCCTGGTGCCCCTCCTCAGACACACTCCTACCCCACAGTCCTTCTGGCTGCCCCACCTCCCCTCACTTACGGACCTCACCTAAGAACCAGACTTTTCTTCGTGGCTTGTTCCCTGGGCTTACTACTCTAGAAACAAGCGTTGTTGGTTCAGGTTAGCCTGGCTGTTAAGAAGACAGTATTTGTGGAGCTCAGAGGGCATCAAGTTCAATACCCTGAGGTTACAGAGGAGTAGACTGAAGCCCAAGGTATGCCCTCAAGGTCACAGAAGTGGGATTAAGTGGCAGAGCTGGGTTTTGGACCTGGGCCTCCTGACTCTAAATCTGCTGCCTTTTCTGTCTCACTTTAGACCTTGGCAATGGAGGGAGGAGGAAGAACTGTGGCCCAGAGTGGAAGGAGGCAGGCCGACAGATGTATTCAAAGGTATGGGGGCAGAAATTAGAAGGCAGTCCAATCAGTATGTACTTATTAAGGGCTTACTATGTGCCAGATGTTGTGCTAAGCACCAATAGAAAAAACAAAACCCAGTCCCTGTCCTCAGGGAGCATACACTCTAACTGTCCCAGGAACAAGTGAACTGTGGTTTTGGTCTAGTGGTTCAGGGAAAGGCAGAAGACAATAGTGTGAGGGAGGGAGGGAGGGAGGGAAAGAGGAAGGGAGAGAGAGGGAGGGGGGGAGAGGGAGAGACAGAGACAGAGAGAGACAGAGAGAGAGAGAGAGAGAGAGAGAGAGAGAGAGAGAGAGAGAGAGAGAGAGAGAGAGAGAGAGAGAGTGTTGGCAGACTCTAAAAAAATGTGCCACGGGTTCGGGACTGCAGAGAGCTGGGGTTGTGTCCTGGGTCTCCTCACCATGGCACCAGCACGACCACAGCCCAATTACATTCTCTATTACTGGCACGCTTTTGTAGGTCTACACTACAAAGAGTGCTTGGAAAAGTGAATGCATATGCTGATGCAGAGCTTCGGGCAGCAGTGTGTCAGAGAGGGTGTGTGTTCATACTCCATGACACTCTTCTCCTCCTGGGGGCCCAGGATATGCCCCCAAGCCTCGACTGACCCTCCCAGTGGGTCCTGGGCCACAGGGGCTAACGCTATCCTTGGGGGCCACGCGAGGTCAATTCTCAGAGACGCCTCACTTCCAAATTCACTGGAGAAGCAGAGGGAAAGAGGGTAAGAGTCGAGGGCTCTGGACCACTGCCCTTCCCCGCCTCATTGGGATTTGGAGCCCTGGGGGCTCTGAAGGACTGAACAGCTCCCCTTCCTAGAGATCTTGAAGGTTTTCAAAGCTCAGAGGCAGTATGTTTGTTGACCTCCATTTTACAGAGGGGGATATTGAGGTTTGGAGAAGCTAGTGACTTGTCCTTGGTCACCATGCTAGAGGTAGGGCTCCAGGGGTCTGCAGGCTCTCCACACCAGCAGCATTCACCAAGCAGCCCAAGCTCTTCCTCCCCCCTGCCTCCGTCCCAGGAACTGAGAGGGGCACGTTACAGGGGTGCTACTAGTCACCCTGACTCGGTGACCATGTTTGTCCTCAGGAAGGAGGATGATGTTGCCAACATGTTCACAGAGCGGGTGGTTGGAGGGTGGTGCTCTTTAATTACCTCTGCCTGGTACCATGCACATCTGAGCAGCTGTAAATGATGTGGGGGCTTATCTAAGCATGGGGATGATGCTGTGACTAATCCCTGACCTTACACTGCACTTCAGTGTTTGCGAAGCCTCTGCTTATTACTTCTGCCTTTCCTACTATCACGCCTTTGCACTGGCTGTGCCCCACGCTTGGATGGCTCTCCCTGCTCACCTCAGTTTCTCGGAATTCCTCAGTTCAAATGCCCCTCCTAAATGAGGCCTTCTCTGACCCCTCCTCCAGCCGCTTGTGCCCCCCCCCATTACCTTATATTTACTTTGTATATATTTTGGGTTTTTTTGGGAGGGGGCTGGCAATGGGGTTAAGTGACTTGCCCAAGGTCACACAGCTAGGAAGTGTCAAGTGTCTGAGGCTGAATTTGAACTCAGGTCCTTCTGACTCCTGGGTCAGTGCTCTATCCACTGCACCACCTAGCTGCCCCCACTTGGTATACATTTTGAACACACTTCTCTGTGTACCTATCTCCCTGGAACTCATGTTAAGTCCTCGAGGCCAGGGACTGTGATGTACAGAGGCTGGCAGGCAGGAAGCACTTAAGAGATGCTTACTGATGATCTCATCTGAGGTGTAAAACAACCCCACCAAGAGGCCAGCGACGTACCCGGGGCCTAAGGTCAGGCTCTGGGGTGCCCGGGGGCCCCAGCGTTGCTCCGTTCCAGGGCAGGGAGGCAGCAGGCCTGGAAGTGCTGCCGCTTCCTATCCCTGAAACCTGAAGGGCTGGAGGATGCCGGGGACGACCACCATCGCGACCTCGGCCTGCTCCTGCACCACCCACAGAAGCAAAAGGGAGCAGCTGAGGCATGTGCAGATGCAGCTCTTGGGGTCTGGGGCTTCCTCCTGTGGCTCGGGAGTTGGAGGTCCTTGGTTTCCTCGAGGTTCTGAGTCACCTTTTACTGCACAGCCTAGGATCCCAGAACACGGCCCAGCCACTCACTCCCCATGTGACCCTATATGGGCCTCAGTTTCCTCCTATGTAAAATGAGAGGTTGAACTAGATCTGCCGGAGTCCTATCATCTTTATTCCCTTCCATACCAGCCTGGGTGTCTGAACTTTGGCAGGAAGGAGTCAACCATGAGCCCAGAATAGCAAGAAAGACTAGGGAAAGGCCGTGAGAGGAATAAATACAACCAAGACCCAGCAGCAGAGTGAGAAAGACGGCCTTAACAGATCCAATTCTGGAAGTGCAGAAAGGATTCCAAAGCACTTTCCTCACAAGAGCCCCATGAGGTAGGCAGGGCAAGCGGAATCCCCTCATTCTGAATGACGGGGACAGGGCCTGGAGCCCAAGGAGACTATTCCAGCCCCAGGAGAACAGCCACAGGCCCACAGCTAGAAGTGCTGGAGGCAGGATTCGAACTAGGGCCCCCAGGACACTTCCCACTACACCCCCTGACTCTTCCAAGAGGACCATTCATAGGTCTGGAGTCAGCAGCTACTTCCTAGAACACGCTGGCAACGGCTGCTTCTCCCTTTTGCCGGACGAGGCTTGAAGCCACGTGACAGCGGGGCTGGCACAAAGAGCCAGCCCCTCCCTGGTGGCACCAGGCTCAGAACCCGGCCAAGGCACCACCTCCGCCACCACTGCTCCTGGGGGTCCAGTTACAACGCTACCACACTCGTCTTGCAAATGCTGCAGCCCCCCCCCCAAAACACACACACAACCCACCCCGCCCCTCCCGGAGGCTGCAGGGAGGCAGGCGCCTGGCATCCTCAGTCCAGCCAAGCCCAGCCTGAGCCTGCTACTGGGCTGAATCGCTCTGGGCTTCTTCCGGGGACACCAGGAGGTCGAACCTGATGAGCGGCTTGGCAATCACGCGCACCTCTGGGTTCAGAGGGTTGAGCCGGAGGTTCACACACTTCAGGGACGGCATGGCGTCCAGCTTCTCCACAGGGACATCTGCGGGGGAGAGAGGAGACGCGTTACCCCGAGATCCCCTGAACTCCGATATCCAACCACCGCCGGGGTCCCGACCACCCAGCCACACAGGCACGAGGGATGTTAGAGCTGAGAGGGATCTTGGAACACGAGACGATGAACCTCCCAGGGTGGGGACACCGTACAGACTATCAGAATGATGGCTGCCCTTGGACGAGGGTTCAAATCTCAGCTTTGCCGCTCACTCTGTGTGACCTTGGGCAAGTCACTAAACCTCTCTGGGCCTGTTCCTTACCTGTAAAATGAGGAGGTAGAACCAAATGACCTCTAAGGTCTCTTCCACTCTAAATTAGTTTTACTGAGCTGGTTTCCTTTCTTTTCTTTTTTATTCTATTATAAAGGAGGTCTCATTGGATAGGAAGGAGGGGAGGGATATGTTTTAAAATGAAGGTGATGTGAAAATGAGAGGGATCAACACCTTTTCTAAGAGGAAAAAAATGAAATGACACTTAGAGCCCAAGTCCATCCCCTTCACTTTACAAATCAGGACACTACGGCCTAGAGAGGCTAAGTTTTTGTCTAAGGTGGGAGCTCTTTACCTGCGGTCTATAAACTTTTTTTTTTAATTGGTAATTATTTCAATGTAATCGGCTTGCTTTGTAATGCTATGGATTTTATTTTATTAATTTAAAAACATGATTCTTGGAAGGGGTCCATGAACTTCACCACACTGCCACTGGGATCTCTGACATAAAAAAGGTTAAGAAGCCCCAGACTAAGGTCGTAGGCAGCTGAAGAGCACAGCGTAGGATCTGAACCCAAGTCTTAGGGTGGCAGAGCTGGGAACAACTGCTCCTGGCCCTCTCTTCCAAGTCACAGAGGAACAGGAAGTGGCAGGGACATCTGTTAGCCCCCTAAACACTTAATCTAGATTCCCCTGCCAAAGACACTCCGTTACGGCTCTCCTACTCAGGTCCTGCTAGCCCTGCTGATGACTGGCACCTTCTCCACTCCCCTACCCCCAGCGGGCCCCCGCCGCATCTCTCAGAGCCAGACGGCTCAGACTCCACAGCGCCTCCCTCCCAAAGAGGGGACATGCTCTCAGCGGCTCTGATGCACACACACGGGCACAAGCCGGTCAGGAACCTCGGACAGACACACTGGAGGCAGGAGCTCGGAGAGCCAAAGAGGAGCTTCAGGAGATGCCTCCGGGCTGAAGAGGGCCAGCCCAGGCCTCCTGTGTCTCTTCTGCTCTATCGGTGGTAAAGCAACAACCAAGCCTGGCGCTCACCTGGGCGCTGCCCCCAGCGCTGCCCTCCATCCATCAGTAATGACAAACAACACAATGTGTCTCAAGAGGATGTAGAGGACACAAGAATGTCAGACAGCAGGGGAGGGGGCCTTCAAGCACAGCCTGGAAGGAAAAGGCCTGAGTAAAAGATGGCTTAAGTCCCAGGACCCTGGCTCTGTGGCAGAAGAAATGTTAGAGGTCACCTAGCCTAACTCCCTCATTTCACAGACGAGGAAACTGAGGCCCTGGAAAGGGAAGCATCTTCTTGCTCCAGGCCCCAGAGGACGACAGCACTGAAGGAGGCAGCTGAAGGGGGTTCTCTGACACCACCGTCCCACACCGCCGCCCTAATGCCACTCACAAACAGGTATTAAGTATCTGGCACTGGCTCCCGAGTTCAGCTGGGGTGAGGGTGCGGGGTGGATGTAAAGACAAAAATAAGGTCATCCTTGCCCTGCCATGCTGAAAGGGGCCTTGGGAACACCACATGTTTGAGGCGGAAGCCACCCTAGAAAGCGTCTTACCTAAACCCTTTCCTTTTACAGACAGAGAAACTGAGTGCTGGAGAAGAGCCTCCATCTGCCCACGGTCCTGACAGATTCCCAGGGAGCCCCGCTGCGTACCTACGGGGCCCAGACTGCAGGATTTCTGGGCCCTTTTCAGTTCTAACAATCTATGACTACCACAATTATCACTGCTATTTGTGCTGGGGGGAGGGGGAGGAGTGAGTGTTCTACATTAAGTAATTAATGTGTTTGGGGGATGGTGGGGCCATCTTGAATAAGCCAACCCTGCAGGGGCTGAGGTGGGTGGGAGCCAATGAGCCAAAGGAAAAATGATTCTGATTGTTATTTGGTTTGGAACAAGAGAGAAAATGAGAGGTTCTGCAAGAGCTTGGGCTTTCTCCACCCCATGCTGAGAGCTGATCCCGTTCTGTTCCAAACCTTCTCCCCACCTGTCAGTTGGGGCTACCGAGGGAAGTGGCCCTAACTCTCAGCTGACGGCTGGAGGGGCCCCTCCCTGCCAGAAGCCAGGCCGACAGGTTAGGGATCTCTACTCCAGGTTTCAGGTGAGGGCCCCTGGTAACACAGCTAGTCCTTCTGATGCCCTGTCTGGGCTGCCTCTCTTCATTAACAACAAGCATAGCTAACATTTTTGCAGGACTGTGCAGACATCACAACAACCCTGGCCAGAGTTATCATGGCCATTTAGGGATGAGGAAACAGGCTGAAGGGGCATCTGAAAATGATAACAGGATGACACGGCACCTGGAGGATTACAAATCACATTTCCTGTATTATTTCATTTGACCCCAAAACAGGCTGGTGAAGTGGGTGCTACTATTATCCTTAGCAGTAGGTGGCACCATAGTGCACAAAGCACTGGGCCTGGAGTCAGGAAGACCAAGCCAGGAATCTGGCCTCACACACCCGAGACCTCAATTGAGAAGGTCATTTACCCACTACTGGCCTCAGTCTCTTTGTCTGTAAAATGGGAATACATGAGCACCTACCTCCCAAAGTTATTGTGAGGATCAACTGAGATCAGCGTTTGAGAAAGACTCAAGTCTCACTGATTCCAAGTCCAGCCTTCTGGCCACTCTGCCAACCCGGCTGCCCAAATCAAGAAGAAAAGCGCCGAACCACAAGGATGACAGAGTAAGGATGGGAAGTGGAACTCTGATCCAGGGAGTGTCTCAGGGGAAGGCACTGATGGCATGAGTCTAGGAGAGACCAGCTAAACTGAAGATCTGAAGAGATCTGAGAAGATCCTGACAGTGAAAAGATGAGCCAAATCTAATGAAATGAAAATTAAAACGGATAAATGTAAAGTCCTACTCAGCAGTGTCCTAATACACACTCACATACATATACACATATGTGGAAACATCCGTTTTATTTAGTATTTGTTAAATTCAGAATAAAAAAATGTCCAATTCAAAAAAACGACCCATCCCAAGTCAGCAGCAGCAGCACAGAATGGAAGCAGAGCGGTCCTTGTTAAAGGCACCCAGGTATTCAGTGGATTCCACGCTCCATATGAGTTCCCAGAGTGACGTGGAAGCCCCCAAAATGGACGTGACTCCATTAACAGAAGAAGGAGGATGGGAGCCCCTCTGCCCTCTGCCTTGCTAAGGCTGCCCTCGGAGGCCTGGGTACAATTCTGGGACTTACATTCTAAGAAGGCCATTGGACAAGCTGGGAGAGGAGGACAACCAGGCTGGAGGGAGGGGGAGCTGCAAACTCTGCCCTGGAGATATTGGTTGAAAAAATTAAAGACTATTTAGCCTGAAGAGGAGAAGACTTAGGGGAGATGAAACTAGCCTTCAATAATGTGAAAAGTTTCACATGGAAGAGGGATTAGACTTGCTTTGCTTGGCTCCTGGGATGAAAGAGGGAAAATAAATACCAATGACATTTTCTATTCTTACTTTACTTCTTAGACATGGCATTCAATCTCTAGTCTGCAGCCCTTTGTCTAAGCTGTCCCCAATGTGCCCTCCTCACCTACGCCTCTGGGAATCCCTACCTCCTTTTAAGGTTTAGCTCAAATGCCACCACCTTGCTTAAGTGTCAGTCACTACCTTCTGGAATATTTTAGTCTTTTTGAAAGGCAACAGTAACTAAATCATTATCTATCAGAGGAATGCAATTACAACAACTCTGAGGTACCACCTCACACCTATCAGATTGGCTAAGACGACAAAACAAGAAAATGATAAATGCTGGAGGGGGTGCAGGAAAACAGGCTCACTAATACATCACTGGTGGAGTTGTGAATTGGTCCAACCATTTGAGAACAAGTTGGAACTATGCCCAAAGAGCTATAAAACTGGGCATACCCTTTGATTCTGCAATACCACTACTGGGTCTGTACCTCAAAGAGATAAAAGAAAAAGGCAAAGGATCTATATGACAAAAACATGTCTATCAGCTCTTTCTGTGGGGGCAAAGAATTGGAAATTGAGGGGATGGCCTGTCAACTGGGAATGGCTGAACAAGTTGTGGTACAGGATTGTGATGGAATACTCTTGTGCTATAAGAAATGACAAGCAGAATGGTTTCAGAAAAATCTGGGATGACTTACATGAGCTGATGCAAAGTGAAGTGAGCAGCACCAGGAGAACACTGTACACAGTAACAGCAACATTGTAACGATGATCAACTTGACTTAGCTATTCTCAGCAATACAATGATCCAAGACAATTCCAAATGACTCATGATGAAAAATGTCATCCATCCCCAGAGAAAGAACTGATGGAGTCTGAATGCAGAACAAAGCATACTTTTAAAATTTTCTTTATTTTTCTTGCTTTTTTCTTCTGAAACACAGCTAATATGGAAATATGTTTTGCATGACTTCACACGTATTGTATTTCTTGCCTTCTTAATGGGTAGAGGAAGGATGGCGGAGGGAGGAAGAGAGAATGTGGAACTGAAAGTTAAAAAAAAAAAGGTGGATAGAGAGCTGGCCTCAGTCAGAAAGACCTCAGTCACATCCTAGCTATGTGACCCTGGGAGGTCCTGTCACCTCGATGGGCTTGAACACGCCACCTGCACTGGCAGAGGTCATTTCCTCGATTGAGAACTCCCTCCACTAATGAAATCAGAGGGCTAGTTCCTGTCCCTTGAAGGCATTATAGGATTATGAGATCATAGTTCTAGAGTTGGAAGGGACCTCAGAGGCTTTTCCTGCCCACCCCAGTTACTTATATACAGTTTGTTTTTAT